GGGGGCTGATTTTAAAAATAAAAATTTGTGCTTTGTGGAATTTTTGGTATTGTTTAATTTAGGGAAATTCCGTTGGTTGGTTCTTGGTTTGATAGAGGAAATGGTTAATTTTTCTGGGAAGGTAATCAAAGCTATCAATGAAAAAGGATAAGCCAAGATTCTCTATTAAATTTCATCATTTTGTGCTGTTTTGTTAGAAAGCTCCAAATGGAACTCTCTGAAATTCTTTTCATATTTGAATGTAGTGAGTTACTAGTTTATCAGTAAATGTATGTTTAGAAAATAATGAGAGACTATATTGTTGTTTTCTATCATCATATGATATGATTGTGCTTTGGGGTTTATTTATTTATTTATTCCATACTTGTTATACTGTTGGGTTTTTTTTGTACTCAGGAATGGTGTGAAAAACAAATGGAATATTTCCTTCTTCTTGGTAAACCAGAAGCCAGCAAAGCTATGAAAGCCGGTAGCCTGAGGCATGCCGCTCTTGAAGAAGAGGTATGCCCTCAGATTCTGAATTTGTTTTTTGGGCTTGTGATGTTGTGGGACATTAGTAACATGAAGCTCTGAGGTAATGTTCATCAGCTCTTCATGCTACCCGGTCTTGTTTGTGCTGCTTACTCATTTAAGTTGTCAGATGAACATGAAACGTTTGTTTATCTGTTGAGAATTTCCTTAGGATTCTTGAATTTCCTTTGGCAGGTGATAAAAAGAGTAAAAGTTCAAACTCAATGTATTGAAGATGTATGGGCAATCAAGCTCATGAATTTTGTGGTTGGTGCCAACCAGTTGTTATTTGATGGCTTGACACGCGAGTTACCCATGTAAGTCACAACTATAAACTCTTAACATCTATTTATGTATCTTTCAAGACTCAAGAGAAGAACAGTGCGTAGTTCTTAACATCTGATGTAGAGTAATTGTTAAATTAATTGTTAAACCAGAGTAGGATTCGCGGAAGGTGTGTGGATGGTTGGAGTGATAGATGAAATACGAATGCGTTCGGAAGAAAACAAGAGATTCCCCATCTTAGTTGACACGAAAACACGCATGCGGCCTACTCTTCCTTCCGAAGCACAACGAAGGAATGGAAGGTATTATCATCATTCTTTTCTATCACAAGTGGAGTATGAGAAGGGGAGGGTGTTCTCTTTAGAATATATTGGTAAAATAATGAAATTACCTATTTAAGCAATATGATTATTTTCAACTTTATGATTTTATAAAGATTATTATTACCATGTTTATATAGATAAACAATCAGCTGAATGGGCTTTTTAGTAAAATTTCTTTCACAGAACTAACTAATGAAGTGAAATTCTGCAATGTGGGCAGGCTTCAACTAATGTGCTACAAGCACATCTGGGACAACTTGGTTGCTGATGAATTTCCCTTTGCAAAGTTCTTTGATTTCTTTTCTTTAAATCCCAACTGTATCTTATCACAAGAAATCCGGGCTAATACAACCAGGTCGGGTTTTCCAGCAGAGGTAAAACAAAATCTCCAGAATGTGTTCTAAATTCTAATGCTCCGTACATTTTTACTATTAAGAACTAACATCAAAATGTGGAACCCCCCCCCCAAACCCACCCACAGACTCTCAGTGATCTCGTGAGGTACTTTCGGAATACGTGTTCTATGCTTCCCCGAGCACATAATCAGCTTTTGTTGAGGTTAGTAGTTTTTACTGGGGAAATGTACTTCTGGAGTCCGTTTTTTACTATATAATGTGATTTTTTAAGGATTGGATTCAATGAATAGTATAATACGTGATCATATTCCATTTCATTTGCCCTTTATCAACTTGTAGAAATATTAACTTCCTAAAACCATCCATTCAAATATAAAGATGATTAAGGCATGTCCGGTTTTAACATTCATTTGGTGATCATCAAGGTACGAATTGCAAGGGGGTGAAACGTTGCTGGGTGAAGACGAATTCGAGCATGACTCGAATTGGATCAATGATCAAATAAGGTCTTGTTTAGAGTTTTGGAGAGGTGATCGCGAAGCCAGTTGTGCTCCAATGGAGGAGCGTTGGAAATGCAAGAGCTGCAGCTTTGCTTCTGTTTGTCCTGCTTCTTCTTCTTCTTCTCCAACTTCCTAGCCATGGGAGCAGAAGGAAGAAAAGAAGAACACTTTCTTCAAATAATGATCTGCAGAATCCAACGAATTTATACGGCTTGGGAACTCGGGTCTTTCTTCTCAAGAAAAAGCAACAATTTCATATCCATGAAGCAGAAATTCATTTGTTGTAACTTATAAATTCATATGGATTAGATCTTTCTGCTGGTTGTATGATGATTGGTATGCAAAGAATCCTTAGTCCAATTGTAGCTTTTCACGCATTTATTTATTTGAGAAATGAAGTCAGTTCATGTAGAAGTCATTTTGATCCCCCTAATTTTGATTAAGTCATAAATAATCCTTGGCCAAGCCCAAGATTAGAGAATCAAGCAGACAATTGAAGTTTACACCAAAAAAAGAGTTCAAAGGTAAATTAACAATCTTTTCTTAAGCATTTGATCATTCTTTAGTATGGTCATGTATACCAACACTTAAGCCTAGTTTGGATATAGGTTGTTTTTGTCAGTTGGTTTGAACGGCGACTAATTGTATGGTGCTACTCATAAAAAACTATTTGACAAAATTATCTGTTCATATTTAGGTATTTGGAGTTGTAGTTCAAATTACAATTAAGGACATTCCTATTTACATAAAATAGACAAATAAATAAAAGGAATCGAAAGACTCGACAAAAAAATTATGATCCATCCATCCGTCCCATAGTTGTTGGATCAATTTTTAATCATTACTCCGTACAATCGTCATTTTGTTTTTTCTTATTTGGTAGGGAGCACTGATCCTTAGCGACCACTTAAGTAAACTAAGGAACATGTTAGTATGTTTCATGCTTCCTAAATCCAATGTTTAATGATAATTATATCAAGTCATAGGTGCCAGTTTCAAAATCTGCATGGATACTTAATTGCCTTTAAATGGCAAAATCAAAATGTTCAAGTCATTTTGGATACTTAAAAAGAGTTCAATTTCTCACACGAATTCAAACAGTTGGCACAAAAGTCACACTCAACACACAAAACTAAGATGTATAGTCTTACAAAGTTTATAAAAGTTGAATGAAAAGATACTCAATGATCACTTCTTCTTCTGGGCGGCCTTGGTCACCTTGGCGCCAGTTGGATCCTTCTTCTCGACACTCTTAATCACACCAACTGCAACTGTTTGCCTCATGTCCCTCACAGCAAAACGACCCAGCGGTGGGTACTCAGAGAAGGTCTCAACGACCATGGGCTTGGTCGGAACCATCTTGACGAAACCAGCATCTCCATTCTTGAGGAACTTGGGTTCCTTCTCAAGCTCCTTTCCAGATCGTCTGTCAACCTTGGTAACCAACTCGGCAAACTTGACTGCTATGTGAGAAGTGTGGCAGTCGAGAACCGGGGCATACCCGTTCCCAATCTGGCCAGGGTGGTTCATGATGATCAC